CAGTTTCAGTGTGATTAATGCCCCAGGCCTCTCTACTCAAGACATTTATGAAACAGCAGCGCAAAAAATGAGTCGAGCTGAAGTAGGTACGAGGCATCGATGTCATGTGATGTGAGCTACTCTGGCAACTCAGCCTGCAGACATGTCAGCCATTCCTAGAGGATTCCTTTCCATGCCAGCTTTCCTGGCCGTGACTGGCAGAAGATCCGGGGGGGTGGTGGCTCCATTTCACACAGCTGGAGTGGAAAACGCTGACAGCCACTGCTCCACACAACCCACCGGATCTGATGACCCCCCAGAGGCCTCGCTGACAGACCGGCTCGCATTTCACAACCAGGTGACAGGACTCCCTCGAGATCACATGACCCCCAAATGCACATCACAACATTAAAGTATTCTGAGGCGAATAAAAAATACAGGTTTGAAAGGGTCAGGGAAGCACGTGAGGAAGTTTCACGATGGGGCTGAACACCATCTGGTCGAGTTTGTCATGTGTCATGGTGGATCTGATACTGACACTAAGACTTAGTATTTATTTTTCGATTGAAGCAGAAATACGGAAACAGCATCTTAATAATAAAAAAACATCCCAAGCACCTGAACGATTTCTGTGTGTGGATGTGAAAGTGATTTTAGAGTCAGGATCAGCAACAATGTGAATCCATGGACGACATTTCTGAGGAAATAAATCAAATAGTCTATTGAGACATTTCACTCAAAACCACAAATGTAAACACAGAGACGAACCATTTTGAGACAACAGCCACAGAGTGAGACCACCGTCCCCAGAGTCAATCAATGGAGACACCATCGTCAAACACAAATCATTACTCTTGTATTTGAGGACTCACAGGGTGTGGAAGTGATTCCTGGTAAACCCTTTAAGTGTTTAACAGGTGCATCAAAGATGGCGCTCCCTGCTCCTTGTTTCCCCTCCAGGGAAATCTGAGTGTCATTCCTCACAGGGCAGCTGTCAAACCAGCGACATGCCTGCGCTGCTGGATTAGCATGGAGTCTGTCATTAGGCAGATCCCCCCTCAGGACCGGAGACGTTCACTGCAAGCCACGACTTGACATGGGCTCACGAGGGGCAACGCTCTGTGCTGAGGATTCATTTGCTGGGTTTAATGACTCGTCTTTACAAGCTCGGAGATGGAAAACGTCCAAAAACTGCTGAAGGTTTATTGCTTCACGGCAAATGTAAGGTGACGACAATTGGTTGCCGTTGATTTGACTAATAAAAAAGATCCCAGCGTGTGTCACTGGCCTCTGATGTATTCATCATATGTTTCCTGGTGTTTTATTTGACGTTTTGACACATAAGGAGATATATTGGTAGTTTTAAGAACTGCACATCATCACAATGTAGTTTTACTGTGTATTTCCTCTCTCGGACTCTGAGGCTCACTTCTGATTGGCTCTCTGAGACACTGTTTAATGTGGATAAAAAAAGCCCTAGGAGGCGACTGACTCCTTTCCCATTGCCAGTACAGAAAATTACCTCATTCAGCTGCATGTCACGTTTCAATCATTGCCGACTGTCAGAGTCATTTCACCCTGGGAGTGGGTTTTGGCCACAGCATCCAGACAAAAGCATGTGAACACCGGCACATGCGTGGGATATTTGTTAACATGCTTACGCAGAAATCAGCATCTGCCCATCACATTCATCCCCACACGCTGATCTGTGAGTTTACACCTCGAGGAACAAACGCAGCCCTGCGAGCAGATGGAGGCAGATCCTGGGAATGGAAGGTGGAGCTATTACTGGAACGAGCTGCTCCGGCGCACAGACCCGGGGCTGGGTATGGATTCACTTCAGGAGGTTTCAGTCGGCTGCATTATTGAGCCCGAGATCACAGGGGGGCCGGTGATAATCTTCTGTCCAAGCTGGACTGTAATAAAACAGGCTCAGGGTCACAGGTCAGGTTGGACCTGCTCCGTACAATAATCCCTGTGTAGAGACTCTTCAGGAATCAGGTGCTGTGGACGTCCAGTTAGCTCGCTGGGCAGCAACTTGACCCCAATTATATCTGTCAGCAGGAATATGTGAAAACTACCGCACCGATTTCCAGTTTAGCCTAAATTTTTGCACCTTTAAAAATAAACCAAATGACCTCTTAGTAGAACCTGTTTGCATTTTAGTCTGAAGAGGGGCCTGTTTCTGAAACATTGCCAATCTGGAAGGTTAAATAAAAAAAAGTGGAGATGGACGTAGGAGAGGATGATGATCTCGGGAAGTTAGAAAATCAGAATTAAGTTCATGTGTTCTGAGGGGATAAAATATCCTATTGCGAATTACAGGAAGGAGAGTTTTTAAAGCATCAGATCTTTGGCTGACATCTCGCCTCAGTGCTCGAAAACCTCTTTAGCTTTAGAGCATCTTATATCTGATCCCTAAACATTTTGTGAATTATTTCATGGATTTCTCATTAATGCAAAATTGAAAGATAAACTGGAGAGACGTTTTTTTGTCAGATTCGTGCCTCAACAATAATATTTTGTGAGTCACTATTTGCAAAATGTCCTGACTGGCGTCACTGTGGGAAATGCATCATGACAAGTAAAATCACGCTGCTGACGTGCAGGTTTCCATGTAATCATTTTCACAAAAAGACCAACAGTCATTTTGTGCAACAAATTTTCAGTTTGGTTAATTTCTCACAAACATCGACTGGAACCAGAGACCTTGAAAAAGCCTCTCACCCACAGTTGTCGTGCTTCCACTCGCATAGCTTTTATTTCCAATCCAGCTTGTGGAGTCCCCGAGAAAAATCAATGCTCAGCGTGTGGAGTCAAGAGGGATAAACTCCACTTTAAAAAGGCAGCACATTCATCCAGTTTCACAATCTGAAACCTCCGCCTGTGCCACTGCTGAGAAAACATCCGAGGCTACGATTCCATGTGCTTATGTGCTGGAGGCCTGTGTTTGCTTTCATGGCTGAGCCCAATGACAGATATGGCGGTGTGTGAGCACTGTGAACTTTCACCTACTGACTGAATTTACTGAGCATTCATGTGCATTTCAAGGCCGACGCTCAGACGCGCCAATAACTGCTGGACGGAGAGGCACGGGAAACCGCAGGGAGACGTCCACATCAGAAAGGTTGCATTGCAAGTAACGAGGTTCGAGATCCAAAATTTATCGAAACGTGTCACAGGTTAGCGCAGCTTTGGTTTAATCTGCTGGAGCTAAAAGTTATTTCCTCCACATTCGCCTGTCAAATGTTTCCCATCACTTAGAAAAAAGCGTTCAAGGTTGAATTTGCACAAACACCAACTGGGTTATGTCAAGGTGAGCATGAAGTGAAAGACCGAACCATCATACTGTTTATTGTCTCACTATATTTAGGTTTTAACTGGTGTGAGTCGACTTTAACACGGACACAAAGACTGTCAGTTGTAATTCAATATTTTCATTCGGTGACCTTCGATGGCCTCGATCATGAGATCAAACTGCATCCAAAATAAATCAACACAAAATGAATCGACAAAAATGCGGAGAGAAAATGTACATGTCGTGTTGTGTCCGATTTAAATATATAGCACATTGAAATCACGTGTGTGTGTGTGTGTGTGTGTGTGTGTGTGTGTGTGTGTGTGTGTGGNCGATTTAAATATATAGCACATTGAAATCACGTGTGTGTGTGTGTGTGTGTGTGTGTGTGTGTGTGTGTGTGTGTGTGGCGGTGGTAGGGGGTCAGGATGGGGGGGGGGTGGACATGTGACAGTTTTAGCTCATAAATCAAACTGATAATCAATGGGTGGAAAAACAGTATGGTGGGGTGGTGACCATGTGTGTGTGTGTGTGTGTGTGTGTGAGAGATAACCTTCTCTTCTCTCCATCTTATCTGGAGCCGTTAGTGGAGGCGTCACCTCACCCTCACAATACTGACGCTTTTAAACGTGTGTTTCTTTCTGCCTGATAACAACTGGGCCTTTTTGGAGCGAGGGGCCGACCAGAGTCAAAGCAGGCGCGTGTCAGTCGCATCAACCAGCGGAGAGCGTCACAGACACTGAGCTGCTCTTTAAATGTTTGATGCTGACATGAAACAAACAGGATTATTTATGGGAGAGGAAGTTGCCAACGAGGCCACTGGGTTATTTTCTATCCTGTCGCTCACGTGTTGTCTGAACAATCCAAGTACTGCTGATAGATCACACACACACACACACACACACACACACACACACACACACACACATACAGCATCACATACATTATTTTGACGGAGGTGAACCTGGTGCTGGCTCGTAGTTGGTTCAACTTGTGAACCTTTTAAGAACCAGTTTCCTTTTCCATGAGCTGGAGCCACTATAGAGCTTCATCATTACATCACCATACATCACTCTATACATCACTCTATATATCACTCTATAGATATCTCTATAGATAACTCTACAGGTCTACACATGGTTGGTCTTATTGGTCAACGATGATGCAGCAATCAGAGGAAGTGGTCACATGCTGCACAGATTATTTTGTGCTATATGTAATTTATGTAAAACTGAGACTCACCAGAAAATTACAACTAAAACTATTTTGATCCTCCATTAATCATTGAAATAATTTTTCTGATAACCTGATTGATTTTTAAAATAGTTGCCCGTTCAATGTATTTCAACTAATTGACTAATTGAGTCAGACACAAACACACAGTTGGGTTTCAGCCCTGTTTTGAGATTGAACTCCCAGGTTCAATGTCAACAACAAGCTGAACAGAAAACTGGATCTTCAACATTGACCAAACTCCTCTCGTCACCAGAAACCTGCAGCCGGACATGAACCTTCATGTGAACCAGCACAGCGACACACAGGTCCCTGAGGTCTGGAGGCTGCACAACACCTACCCTCGGCCCTCGGATCAGACATTGCGTAACAAGAGGATGTCCAGAGCAGGAAGCTGATGGATTCCCTGACCAGGACACACACACACACACACACACACACACACACACACACACACACACACACACACACACACACACAGAGCACCAACCTGCTCCTTGCGCTTCTGCCAGCGGCCGCACGGGCTCTCCTCCAGGATCTCGCTCTCATCCTCGCTCTCCTCCTCCTTCCCCTCAGATCCTGATTTCCTCTCCGGGACGGACATCGTCATTTTCACGCCGTATATTTCCAGAATTCCTCACCGGGACCTTCTTCTTCTCCTTCTCCTTCTTCTTCTCCTCCTTCTTCTCTCCTCACCTCTCTTACTTCCCCCCGCCTTCCTTCCCTCCCCTCTCTCTCTCTCTCCCTCCCGTGCTGTGTGTGTTGTTGTGGCGGAGGAGGACGCGGCGGGAGCGGTGCGCAGCGCAGAGACGCACCGTCTGCGTAATGGAGAGCCCCCCCCCCTACCCTCACCCTCAGCCTCCCTCCCTCCCACCCAGACGACACCAGCCTCTCTCGGATCCTTCACCGCTCAAAACATCCTGCAGGGGACAATTCAAATATCTGGAAACCGCCTCCTCTCACTGAAAACAGCCGATGCGCATTAAACACCCAGCGGTGCGCACGCCGCCGGGTCGCCGGAGGAACTGGGCTCTGTGGAGAATTATGTCCCAGACTTCCTGAAGGCTGCGAGCAAAATGGTTTTTAATCTTCCTCCCGGTTTCACAGAAGCAGCAGCGGACGGTTACAAGTTCGCCCGGCGATGCGTAAAGATTCCCGGTGCGCGTAATGCCGCAGATTCCTGCCTGTTCAGTGGAGGAGAGTCACGTTCTGCGACCATCTCCCACACGCGTCATTGTCGGTGTCGCTGTGTCTGAAGAACCCGCGAGCTGCTGCTGCTGCTGCCAGGCACGGTGCGCACACACCGGGTACCGTAAAACCTCCCGCGACTGCGCACCAGACATTTATGGAGCAGTGGCTCAAACCCAGGGGCGTGTCTGGGATTTTTCTAACCCAGGGGCCACAAGTTACACAGAGGGGCCAATTATGTGTCCAACTTCTGAACACAATTCCTGATACAGGTAAAGTTATTCCGTCTTTACTGTCTGCTCCATAACTTTGAGCAAAGCCAAACATTGTTCAAGCACATTGGGTTCTTAAAAAAAGTTGAAAATGAATAAATAATAATAAACGATATGATAAAATAAAAATATAATTATTAGAAAAATTCCAAATGTATAGATATTATTGTCAGTGGTTTTTTTTAAGGCTGCTGACAGGACAAGATAAAAGAGATAATACTATATAATATAATAATACTTTAATAATAATAGGATTATACTATATAATATAATAATAATAAAATAATACCATCCAAGGCCGATATTAAATCATACAGATTAAAATCATAATAAAAATAAAAGAGAAACACAGTATTTCATCCTGTGATGCCAGAAAATAATAAGAAAATCGAGGTATTCAGTTGTGGTATTAGATCTACAAGATCAAATAATTAATATTTATCATTTTTAAGACAAATTGACCAAATGAATGGGGCGGTTTTTAAAGCTTTGTCTTGTAAATAAATGTGAATGATTTATTAATTATTATAATATATATATTATAAATATTATTATTATTATAATTTGTACTGTGATCATTTGGCCCAGATTTCTAAATTTGATCAAATTGCCAGAAACTAATCCAAACACAGAGTGGTGGTTTTAATCCAGCAGGAGTTCTGGTTTCTGGGAATACAATGGAACTCTCATGTGGAGGCTGACTGGTAAATATAACAAAATATACATAATATTATTCATATTTTCTAAGAATCATTCATACAATTTTAGAAGAGGAAGAATGGGTGATAAAATCATATGGTTCAGTGAATGGAATTGACTGGTAATATTCAAAATTAATCTCATAATTTACATGTTCTCTTCTATGATTTTTGTGTTTGTTCCAGTTTATGCTCTGTTCATTATGTGTGTGTCTCTGTTTGAAGCTATGAATTCTATTATTTATGATAAAATAAATCCTGGAGGTCGTTAAATCTCTAAATGACTGACTCAATCCTGATCCACTGAAAAACTCAAATCTGACAATAAGGATTTAAAGATGCAGCATCCCTGTGTCTCCTCGGCCGGTTTCCCTCTGAGCCACTAGAGAAAGAATACGGTATCAGTCTGTGTTTCCAAGTATCAAGCAGAGGTTTGAATTACTTCATGGAAACTGTATTTCAAAATAAAAACATGTTTGCCATCTAGTGGTTCTGGTTTCTATCACATCTGGAGGGAAATGATGTTGATTTTTTATTTGCAGCACAAAGTACATTTACTTCATTGTATTTTGATTTAATGTCTCGATCAAAATGAGATAATATAATTTCTATATCGTCCATTTTCCTGCTCTGTGACTTTCACACTTCCACTTGTCTTTTCTGCTCCTCAGTGGAAGCAGCATGAGATTCACCCTCGTTCACTTCACTTGAGATTTGTGTTGTAATCACAGTCTTTCTCTATTTTTAGTGTTCACACAGAGTCTGTGCTCGGGCCGATCCCTCTCACTCTTAATGAGATTTGCTCTTGGCACAGGAAGCAGAGACGAGCAGACAATGGTGTTGTCTAGACGTCCAGGATCCAGGGTGGCTGTTTCAGAGATGGCAGCAGTAACAAGGGGAGACACAGCGCCTTCATCACAATGACCCGTTAACAACGGGGCTCTGTCTGCGACAACAGTTTTGGCACAAAGTGGGAAAATCTGCTCTAAATATGTCAAATCTATAAAAAGATTCCATTCAGTCTTCTCAGATTTCTTTGTCATTGTTTGTTTAATTAATCAGGAGCAGACGTGACACACATGAGCAGAGGATTGTGCTGATGTTTGTGTCTCTATGCTGGGAAGGTTAAATTACGTCTTCCTTCATTTTAAGAACATTATATATAACAGAAAATATATTTGGACCTGGCAGCACTTTATAATCCACTTTAATAACACTGCACCGAGTCTCACCACAAAATATCTTATGTATAAATGTAAAAACATGCATCTGACGTGCATCCCCTTTATTCATTTACTTATTTTATGTCTTTTAAGTAAGTTTTAAATGTGCTTACATTCCTCCATTAACAACACGCTCATGAGATATTGCAAATAATGTGTAACAAGGACAGAGATCAACATCTGCAGTCATTCCACATGTAAATAAGAATA